TGCATTAATCACAGCATGTCCTTTGTCTCGTCTCCCTCCCCTCTCCCCCGTCGGTCTGGGCAGATGGCTGCCCCACCATGAGTGTGTCAGAGGTTTCTTCCTGTGCAAAGGGAGTTTTTCCTTCTCACGGTCACCAAAGTGATCGCTCATAGGGGTCACCTGATTGTTTCCTCTGGATTATTGTAGGGTCCCCACCTTATGATATTAAATGCCTTGAGGTAGGGCTGGGCGACATGGCCTAAAATCCATACTGCGGTGTAATTTGAAGCATGTGCAGTAACAGTATATATTGTGATATATTCTTCTGTATATATAGATAGATATAGATATGTGTGTGTGTGTGTGTGTGTGTGTGTGTGTGTGTGTGTGTGTGTGTGTGTGTCAAAATGACTGAACAGTATAAAAATGCTATTTTAAGAACATTTATTGTGCAAAACTTTTTTTAAATTTTAAATTATAAAACTTTTCAAATAATTTCAGATCTTTTTCCAAACAATGTAACAGAAAATTCTTAAATAACAAATAAAAATGAAGATAAATGCGCCAACATTTTTGAATACAGTAATAAAGTAAAATGTCTGCTGTGTAGGGCCACCGTTTTTCTTTCACTGGACTGACTGTTTGTGGAAGGTGCAGTGTTTGGCTTTGCTCATATTCCAACATGGGCTTTGTTTTTGAAGTGAGGAAACAAATTACTTGTATTCCGTCTCTTCACCATTACTGTCAGATGATATTTTTCTGCTCAACATCCGACTGCTTAACCCAAACCAGGTCCATATGACCAGCGTCACACCGCTCTTCTTTATAAGCTCCTTGCTTGCATGACACCATCAACATGTGCTCGTGGTAGAGCGCTATAGCAAAAAGCCAAATTCATATTGTTTCTACCGTATACTGTTTCTACTCCTCACCCCTACCTTGAGGCACTATATGAGTAAAATCAAATTGAATCAATGTGTTTTAAACACCAACAGAGGTTTGTCAGTTTATATGAAGGCATAAAACTAGTCCCAGTCCCTCTGATACAGTATGATTGCTTTGCATTGTTGTTTCTCAGTTTCTTTTATAAATATCACTATTTCCACTCTTCTCTTTCTCTGCAGATATCAACATCTGGTTGGTCACATTTGGCTTTCATCTCCATAATGCCATCCCAGGATTCCCTATTCCGAAATTTGACCTGATACAGCCATCACTGGAGATGAAAAAGAGCCAGCTGTGGGATGACCTGCCTGTATGTATACTCAGATAAACTATGGAGGAACACCACACCCGATCTGTCACAGCGGGCGTTTTCTCTGGTTGCAGCCCAGTGACAGTGGAACAAGTGTCAAACAAACAGTGGTTACATTTGTGCAAAATTCATTTTTGCTTGTAATACAAACCATGAAGTAGTTTTATTGCCTTGATCTTACCAAACAGTGTTAGAAAAAAATTAATTAAATTGAATAAATCAAATGGGCGTCATCAGTCGTACATATCACCAGTAGGTCCTCACGTTTTCTCAAAAGTCTCCAGTGATGTAACCTGGCCTGGACGTACTTCTTAAACATGTCTGAATCATCTTTCTTTGACTTTTCAGCACAAGAAAGAAACTCTAACAAGCATAATCCAGCTCCTCAGGGCTTGATCTGGAGCTCGTATTGTAGCTAAGTGGCCAGCACTGACAGCGGGTTTAGAATCGTGCCATCAGGGAGCAGCGAGTCGGTGGCTAATCCAGTCAGTCCAGTCACTGGATGATATTTGTAAATGGAATAAATGATGTAACTGCATCAAACACATCTGGGTGGTTTGTTCAGTACTCTTGTCACTGTTGCTGATGGCCACATACGAGACATTCTACATCTTAATAGTTACTCATTTATATATAGTCATGCAAACGTAACGTTGACAAGGAACAGAAAATAACAGAACGAGAAGAAACGAGGAATAAATTAATAGGAAGTTATTAGTGAGACATCCTCCCATTTAAAGGAAAGGAAATAAGTAAAGGAGGATGTCTGTGCACGTGTTGTCGGGTCACCAGTAATCACACTCACACTGAGAGTGAGGAAAAGGCGCTGACGTAGAGACGCTGACGTAGAGACGCTGACGTAGAGACGCTGACGTAGAGACGCCGACGTAGAGGCGCCGACGTAGAGACGCCGACGTAGAGACGCCGACGTAGAGACGCTGACGTAGAG